GGTATGGAGCGAATCTATATCTCTTTTTTGGCAACTTTATCATGAACAAAGTGATAATCAACCTCAACATGTTGGGCACATGCATGAAACACCAAATTAAAAGACAAATAAGTAGCTCCCAAATTGTCGCACTAAATAGTGGTAACAAAACTAAAAGAAAAGCATAAATCTAAAGCAAATAACAGAGCCAAAGAACCTCAGCAGTACCATCAGCTAAAGCTTTATATTCTGCTTCAGCAAAGGAGCGAGCAATAGTGCGTTGCTTACCAGATTTCTATGAGATGGGAGTGGTGCCAAGAAAGACGATGTAGTCACTAGTAGATTTTCAATGATTAATACTTCCCGCCCAGTCAGCATTAGTAAAACCATGCAATGATAAGGAAGAGCCTCGAGTAAGTTGAAGGCTAAAAGAGGACATACCTTTTACATACCATAAAATATGTTTGACAGTAGCGTAATTGCTTTCAATAGGCACATGCATAAACTAACAGACTTTGTTGACAATATAGCAGATGTTTGGTCTAGTAAATGTCAGATACTAAAGAGCTCTAACAATTTGCTAATAATAAGTGGGATCTGAGTATAAACTACTAGGTTGTAGACTAACCTTTGAAACAGAGGTCGGTGTATCAACCATCTCATAAGATGACATACCAGCCCGATTAAGAATATCAAGAGCATATTTGTGTTGACTAAGCATAAGCCTTATGCTAGTGAGAGTGACCTCAATTCTTAAAAAATGGTGAGCATATCCCATATCTCAAATTTTAAACTCTAAACTTAATAAACTAATAAGGCGACAAAGTAGAGTAGAATTATTACCAGTGAGAAGAATGCCATCTACATAGACAAGAAGATATCATGATTCATAGTCAGAATAAATAAAGAGGTATCATCCTTGGAAGCGTGAAAGCCAATCGACAGAAGAAAGTCACTCAGCATGTGTACCAAGCCCGTGGAGCTTGTTATAAACCATAAAGGGACTTGTGAAAGCAAAAAACATGTATGGGTATAGCAAGGTCAAGAAAACCCGTAGGTTGTTGCATATAAACAACCTCTTGAAGTGAACAATTGAGGAAGGCATTATGTACATCAGGTTGATGAATCTACCAATGATTAGATACAATAATGGCAAGAACAAGCCTAACAATAGTCGATTTAACAATAGAAATGAAGGATTTGGAGTAGTCAATGCCCTCTTGTTGAGTGAAACTACGCGTAACCAAGCACGCCTTGTAGCAATCAATAGCACCATCGGCCTGTTACTTGATTTTGTGAACCTAATAACAGCTCGTAACATTCATGGAAGGTTCAAACGGAACCAAAGACCAAGTGTGATTGGCATGTAAGGCTATAATTTCAAATCTCATAGCAAACTGCAAGCATAAAAACTAGTTAGCATCTTTGAAAAGGTTCGTGATCATAGGAACATATTACTTGTGAGTGTGGCTACAATGAAGGAATAGAGCTTAGGTTGGCAAACCTGTGCTGTCAGGGATGCAACATCATATGGTGCTGGTGAAAGACTACTAGCATAGTAGACCTATCTTGTGTGGGTTGCTGTGGGAGGGAGTAGCTGAAGAGATCAACACAGAGGTATAAAACTGGCAGAGATAGAGTAGGACATTGTGAGGAAGATGAATGCCTAGATAGTGAGTCAGATTGCTTATCAGAAGGTGTAGCTGAAGGCATAATAGAGGGCATAGTAGAGGGAGAAAAAGAAGGCACAACAAACCTAGTGGTTGTGCTGTCTGGAGCTACAGAACGTGAACCTGCAAAATGATCAATATACATAGTGGTGATTGGAGGTAAGGGGACCTATTTAAACAAGGATGAAGGTGTTTTGGTGGATGTAAAGTAGGGGTGTTCATTTTCGGTTCGGTTCGGTTTTTATCAAAAAAAGTAACCAAACCAGAAAAAAAAAATTTGAAAAAAAAAAACCGAAACCGGGTCAAACCGACCGATTTCGGTTCGGTTAGGTTCGGTTTTTAAGGGAAAAACCAGTTCGAATTGGTTTGGCTCGGTTTTTCTCGGTTTTGGCTCGGTTTTCTCGGTTTTGGCTCGGTTTTTCTGGTTTGGCTCGGTTTTTTTTCTGATTTCAGTTCGGTTCGGTTCAGTTTGGTTTTTCCGTTTTTTGGTTATAAAACTGAAACCGAACCGAACCGGCTGGTTTTTTCAAAATTTTAATCGGTTTAATCAATTTTTTTTTCGGTTCGGTTTTTTCGGTTTTCTCGGTTTAATCGGTTTTTCGATTTTTTTGAACACCCCTAATGTAAAGTGTGTTAAGGTAGGAAGATAGGAGAAAAGGGCTGGTTAAGGTTAGAGTCAAAGGTGGCAGAAGCATGTGCAGGTTCAAAAAAGGGAAAAGATTGTTTATGAAAACAGAAATGACGGGATATGTAAACATAATTAGAAGACAAGTTAAGATAGTGATATCCTAGATGACAAGAGCTATACCCTAAAAACACATATGGAGTAAAATGAAAATCTAACTCATGAGCATTATATGGGCGAAGAAAAGGAAAACACAAACATCCAAAAGTGTGTAAGAAACTATAATCAGGTGTTTGATGGAACAAACACTTAAACATATATTTTTTTGGTTAGACTAGTATCGACATACGAGTAATAAAATATACCATGGTTTCAAACCCATAATTTTAGAACTTTAAGGATGCTTTACAATGTCCAAGTAATGTAAAACCAGTTTCAATGATATGAAGGTGATGATGCTCAACAATATCATTCTTCTCATGTGTGTGTGGATATATTATACGATGATGAATACTAACAGTTTTGAAGAAGGAATTTAATTTATGATATTCACCACCCTAGTCAGTTTGAACTGATTTTATTTTGTAAAAGAATTGTTGTTCCACCAAAACTTAAAATTGATTAAACACATCAAACACATTAGATTTTGCACCAAGAGGATAAATCAAAAAAATTATATGTGCGCATCCACAAAGATTACAAAATATTAGAAACCATTAAAAGATGAAATAGGGGCAAGGCCTTAAACATCACTAAAAATTAATTCAACTAGAGCAGATGTTTTATGACCTATAGGTCCTAATAAAAGATGCGATGATTTTCTTAACGAACATGCTTGACACTGAAAATTTAAAGTACAGGGGGTACAAGTGACCTTTTTATTTGACATTAAGAGACTTAAAACCCAAAAGCTGGGGTGACTGAGTTAACGATATCAAACATCAACAAAAGTGGATAGGCTAATAGACAAAAAAGCTTGAGGCAGAAACATGGCCAAAGACTCTAAAAGGTCATAGAAGCCATTTTTACTCTGACCAGAAAGTAGAACTACCCAACATAGAAAATAGAAGAGTGAAATTAAAAAAAAAACACAGTTTTCACAACAAAATTGTTGAACAGATAAGAGTCTTTTTTATTAATTTCCGACACATGCAATATATTAGAAAAGGTAAAGACTCGGTTAGGGGTATATAAGATATAATAGGCTATATTAGATATGGCAAATCCTTTACCATCACCAATACGTAATTGATCATTACCAAGATAGGGTTCTGCGTGTGTCATACCAGCAATATCTATAGTAACATGCTGATTTATATCGATGTCAGGAAACCACATAACATAATTTTTTGTTGCTGAAGAGTTATTGAAAGAGAGATTAGCCGATGCTTGATACCTATTGTGCACAAGCTGAGAGCACTACTGTGCGGAATGTCCAAACATGTTGTAGAGCTAACACTTTAGCTGGAGCTCCCATTGTCCAACATTGGATTTGTTTTACTGCTAATTTCGATGCTACTGCCAGTTATTTTTGTTGTTACCTCCTTTGGAATCATTGCCACTGTACTAGGCAGAGGGGCGGGCATTGCGCCAGCCATTACATCTTCCTTTACCTTGTTGGGAGGAAGAACTATTGCCATTAAATCCTGAAAAAAACCCGTTGGGTAGCAAAGGTAAAAAAAGGTTGTGTAAGTGTTGGTAGCAGCGGTGCAACTATGAAACTGAATGGAAGAGAGCTTCGATGTAAAAATTCATGAGTGGATAAGTGGTTCTAGAGTTCAAAATATGGAAAAGGGTTAGCTTTTGTTAACAAACTTGTAACAAGGTCACGAAATCACTATAGAGACCCCCAAAAACATATAAATTAAAGTTTGTGAGAGAGATGAGGCGACCTGCAACAACAGGTTCATCAAAGAACCACTTAGCTTTCTACATATAAGTGATGACAGAACCATCATCTTGGCAAAGATCCTGAAGACAGCCATGTAATTGCATGATTCGGGAGTTTGACGAAGATGCAAGAGCATGTTCTAATGTGCTCTATACACTTGCAGATGTTGGGCAAGCTACCACAAGATGGAGCACGTATATGGACAAAGAGGAGAGGAGGGTGCTAAGGATGAGTTGATCTTGTTGTTTCCATGCCAAAAAGGCTTGGGAAAAACCAGAATCATTGGCTGCTTCAATGACAGAAAAATCATTGTGTGGAAAAGGACATATTGTCGAGCCATAAAAAAAAAAGAAGACACTTTGACCAATCAGATATGACTTTATCTGTGTAGCATGTTGCAATAGCCATCTCTTATATTTATAATAATTACTATATAGCGTGTTGTGCAATATAATTTTATATAAGAAAAATACAATATTTCCTAAACTACAACACATTTCATAGTAGTGGAAGTCACACTTCAACCACTCATATCCTAAAAAAAAATAACATTTATAATTTATAAATACATTATAAATTTTTTCAAAATAAAAAGTAGTATGTTTGGAAGCTCCTATCAAAATATTAACATAATTCAACACTGAACTAGCTGGAAAGTTTAGAGAATGAATACAGACTTCTCAACTCTCTTCTTCCTTCTTTCTCCTGTGCTCTCTTGGCAAGGCATTCTGCCAGCACTGTGCACTTAAGATCCTTCCTCTCTTATTTATTTCAATTGTGTGGTGGTTCATTATCACATGATGTAGGACCACGTAATACAATATACACTTGCTCTTATCATCAAATCAACGAAGTCTTTCGTCGTCATCAATAATCATATCACTTCTGCGATGTGGGCACATTTTGTGTACGATTTTATTGCTCCTTAACTCCATTCCCCAGCATCACTGGTTTATTAACCGCTAGACACAGTGCCTTTTTTGTTTTCAAAATGATGGTTGATAAAGCAATACATCCGTTAGTTGCTTCTCTTTTTCTTGTAATCTGGTTTGGAGGATCACTTCCCTATGCCTATGCTCAGCTGAGTCCCACTTTTTACGATGAAACATGCCCTAATGTGAACAACATCATTCGTGGAGTCCTTGTTCAGGCTTTGTACACAGATCCCAGGATTGGAGCCAGCCTCACTCGACTTCATTTCCATGATTGTTTTGTTAATGTAACCATCTTTATAACTAATTACGTTCTTTTTCTAACATTGCTAGATAATCAAACATGTTGTTTCTTGAACTTCAAGTGTTAATTACTAGCTTCGTTCAGGGTTGTGATGGATCGATCCTTTTGGACAACACTGATACTATAGAGAGTGAGAAAGAAGCTGCTCCAAATAATAATACAGTAAGGGGTTTTGATGTTGTTGATGACATGAAGGCTGCAGTAGAGAATGCTTGTCCTGGGATCGTATCCTGTGCTGATATTCTCGCCATTGCAGCTGAAGAGTCTGTTTGTTTGGTATGTTAATGATTTCCCTTGCCTGTAACTATTCTCAAACTTTATTGAATTTAAAGAAAGAGTAGAAGGCAAGGAGATTTTTTTTTTTGTGGAATTATGGACTACTAATATGCTAATTTCTTTGAACCTAAAACTGAAAATGTGCTAATCCATGTGTCTTTGCTGCAGCTTCTTGTTTTTGGATACATTGTTGTTTGCTTCTTAAATTAATGTTTGATCACAGGCAGGAGGACCCTCATGGACAGTTCCTTTGGGAAGAAGAGACAGCTTAATAGCAAATAGAAGTGGTGCTAATTCTGCCCTTCCGTCTCCCTTCGCGAGCCTTGATGTTCTCAAATCCAAGTTTGCAGACGTGGGCCTCAACACCAGTAGTGACCTGGTTGCCCTTTCAGGTATGTCTTTATTAGTATTCTGATCCATTTATGTCTTTTTGTAAGGTTTGACATGCATATTTTTCAGGTGCTCACACATTTGGAAGGGCTCAATGTTCAAGTTTCAATCTTAGATTGTATAATTTTAGTGGCAGTGGCAATCCTGATCCAACACTGAACACAACCTATCTAGCAGAACTTCAACAATTATGTCCTCAATCTGGAAATGAGAGTGTTGTAACATATCTTGATTCCACTACACCTGATACTTTCGATGGCAACTATTTCTCCAATCTTCAAACCAATGAAGGCCTGCTTCGTAGTGATCAAGAGTTGTTTTCTACTACAGGTGCCGATACCATTGACATTGTCAACAATTTTAGTAGTAACCAGACTGCATTCTTTGAAAGCTTTGTGGTGTCCATGATTAGAATGGGGAATATTAGCCCCTTAACCGGGACAGATGGAGAGATCAGATTGAATTGCAGAAGAGTCAACGACAAATCAACCGGATCAAATGCTCTTCTGGCTAGCTCAATTTAAATGAGAAGACAAGATTGAGATCAAATAAATGTCTATATGGCATGCTGCTAGCTAGCATCTTGGAAAGAAAAAGCTACATGAAGCAAGCCGGAGGCATACTTTTATGTATCTATATATGGTCCTCTATTTCAGTTTATGCATGCTGCTTCCAAATCTGTGTCTGCTCCAATTCAGCTTTGAGAGACATTGTTTGAGTTGTAGATGCTCCGCTACTAAATAATGTTAAATGCTACCTAATGCATTCTCACTTGTCATCATGGATCTTCAAACCATGACCTTAAAAGTGATTCTGCCATTTCCACTTTGACATCCAAATACATACTTCCGAGATATTAAAATTACGTTTTTGAATTTGAAATGTTCAATATCAAGAGAGAGAGAGAGACGGAGAAGATAAGGAAGGATTGGCCCTGAACTGACACAGACAAGCGCCCAATTTATTGCATCACTTAAAATAAGGCCATCTACCAAAATATAAAGGTAGACCTCAGATTAATGCCCCAACTTTTAATAATTTACGTTCAGCCTCTCAGGTCTTGATTAAGCTATCAATTTTCGTAATTGGGTTCTTAAAGTTGTAGATGTTCCTTAATTGAACCCCCTGTTTATGTTTTTAATTTATTACTTACGTCTAACTTGCACATATTATGCATGGGAAGATTTTAAAAGACAGACCAAATTGAGAAACGTATGATAGAATGGTGATCCAATTAAGAAAATTAATATTCAGATACTATACTGACATGCAGTTCCTAGTTAGGGGGACTAACTCTGAGCTATTCCCAAATATAAATAAACATGACTTCAAAAAAAAAAAAGCATTTATATACACACCTTAGCATGTTATCCGTGATTTGAGGCTTACATTTTGCTGGATTTTAATTAAAAAAAAAACAAAAAACATTTAACTTGGTGTGATTTTGTTACAAAGTTCGGCTAATTAGCAATCTGGCTAACAGGTCAAAATTCATTGATTTTTTTTATTTTTTTAAATGATATTATTTTATTTGCTACCAAACCTATAACCCGGTTTTGTTTTAGGTAAGATTTAAAAAATATAATTATCCATGATTTCTTACATTTCTACCTTTAACTTTAGTATGCAAATGGAAATACAGAATTTTCTGTTATGGGTGGATATATAAACCTCCCAGATTGCGATTCATTCATCTCAACATAGCCACTAGCAAACCCCCGTTTGTAAATGAATTCCTTTTTTTTTAAATGAGCAGATAGGTTCTTATTTTTAAAAATGAACATAGTAATTCATGTCAGATGAAATGCATCGCCAGCAATGAATTTTCTTCTCCAGATTCCAGTGCAAGAAAACGTGTAAATTAAATGGCCTAAAATTACACATTTACATTACTCTCCTCCCTCCAATCCTTCATGACATTGTTGATATTAATTCTTATATAGATAAGGTCAAGTTTCTTAATTTATATGGATGGTCCCTTTGAGGTTGGCAAAAGCCAACACGAGTATGAACTTGATAATATCCTGGTAGGCTTTGTTATGTGACTAGGAAAACATCATCATCATAAAAGCACCATCATCTTCTCTATGAACCAATGCCAATTTGGACATTGCATCTCTCTCTCTCTCTCTCTCTCTCTGCCTTAGTCAAACGCAAGAATTTGCTTACGTACATTCACGCTTGCATTAAAAGAAGAAGAAGAAGAAGAAGAATTAATTCTTTCACTGGATATATATCAAGCTTCCTCTGAAAGCACCAAGTAAAACGTGGATTCCATGGTGCCTAGAATTATTTTTAGAGAGTCGCAAAGTTTAGAAGCCCTATTCTTGCTCCAAGAAATATATTATTCCTTGTCTATATATATATATATAGAATAATACTTGTCGCCTAAGTTTGGAAGAAAATGTTCAATGTAATAGGAGAGAAAAAAAAGTATTTCCGTGAGACTAGCTATTAATATTCACTCCCTGATGAGAGGCACCGAGACCCATCATGTTTTACAATTGTAAATAGATACGAAAATACTTTTTTTTCTTTTTTCCACCTTCTTTTCACGGTTTCTCTCACTTTCTTACATCAATTTCTCTTTATGAAATAACTATTAACAAGTACTCGAGAATCAACATAAAATTTCCCCATGTAGTGATGCTTTTTTCCCCTTAAGTTATGTACTTTCATGTAGACATGTAGAATTCCATTCGTAAAAGCTATGGATAAGGTAAGTTACTAATTATAATGAAACAATGAAATGCTTGGCCTCTTGTCATTAATGTGATGAGATAATTGACTAACGAAACCTTATCTCGAATTAAAAAAAAAATGAAGGAAACAAGAAGTCATGTATTAGATATAATTAAATGAAAAGGTCTACATGTTTGAATCAATAGCTTCTTATAGGAATCCAAATGGCATATATTCCACAAACACAGCTTATTTTAAACCATAGTCATGCGATTAAAACATTTTTAAGTTGATTTAATTACTTACTATCCAAGGAACCTAATTGCTGACAGACGACAACAATATTCTATCACCCAGCCATATCCATCCCCACATACGTAACGCATCCATGTTATCAGGACTGTGACTATAAATTAATTAAATATGTTTAGTTCTATTCTATGGTAATTGTAGGCAGCGTGTCATAGCTTCCAAACCTCTTTGCAACTCTATAAATTAGAACTTCTATGAATCCTCATTCAAGCGGTGAACACTGAAAACATCATTTGTATACAAGAGAAAATGAAGCTTTCCAAACTTATGGTTGTAGCTTTATTCTATGCATTTTTGGTTGGAGGGCCATTAGCCTATGGTCAGCTTACTCCAACATTTTATGATGAAACATGTCCATCTGTGATCAGCATTATCCGTGGAGTCATTGCAGAGACCTTGATTTTCGATCCCCGGATCGGTGCTAGCCTCATTAGGCTTCACTTCCATGACTGTTTTGTTCATGTAAGTTGAACTATGTATTTTGCTGACCATGATATTCTAGCAAAACATTTAAATAGTCCTGACAAGTTGATTTATTTTGCAGGGTTGTGATGGATCTATTTTGTTGGACAAAACTGCTACTATAGACACCGAAAAGGAAGCTTTTGCTAACAATAATTCTGCAAGAGGCTTTGATGTTGTTGATATAATGAAGGAAAGGTTGGAGGGTGTTTGTCCCGGTACTGTGTCCTGTGCTGATATACTAGCCATCGCAGCTGAAGAATCGGTTGTCTTGGTATGCTATCATCACAATTGATTTCATACGAATTCGAAATCAATTGCTCTTTAATTTTAATATTTTTACATTTTGAAACTTAAGTGGCAAGCAAATTAAGGCAAAGGGAACTGAAATCTCAATTCACATAGATCATTTGTATTTTTATAGCCTTTATTTTAACCTTCTTTATGGTTACTGCAGGCAGGAGGTCCATGGTGGCCAATTCCATTAGGAAGAAGAGACAGTCTAACAGCAAACAGAACTGCTGCTAATGCTTTCATCCCAGGTCCCCGTGACACCCTTGAGCGTCTCAGATCCAGATTTACGGTTGTTGGCCTCAACAACAATACCGATCTGGTAGCACTATCTGGTAACAATTGTTTTTTCCCTTCTTCTTGAGAAACATGATCACACAATATTAATCTAAAATGCATTGTACTGAATGCGCGTCTCGTCAAACTAACTACACGTTTTCATAATTTATATGTTTTTAGTGGTAAAAGAACCAATCCAATTCAAAATTTTAAACTGTCATGTTATATTCTAAAAAGATGTTACTTTCTACTACATTCAAGTGAAAGATTCCTTGGTTATTTAAATTATGATACCAAATCAAAAACTAATTCAATCTGAGGCTACAAAAAAATTTATATATTGCTCTCTACAACTCATCATAAGAAAATTATTTATATCATTATTATTTCTTTGATGAAATTTTGGTGCTTTTATTCTTAGGTGCTCACACATTTGGACGAGCTCAATGTAGAACTTTCATTGATCGACTGTACAACTTCAACAACACTGGCCTTCCTGACCCAACATTGGACACCACTTCCCTAGCAACACTTCAGCAATTATGTCCCCAAGGAGGAAATGGGACTGTGCTAGCTGATCTTGATCCCACAACACCTGATTGCTTTGACAATAACTATTTCTCCAATCTTCAAGCTAATAAAGGCCTACTTCAGAGTGATCAAGAACTGTTTTCGACTCCTGGGGCTGATGATATCATTGAACTTGTTAACATATTCAGTACTGATGAAACAGCTTTCTTCGAAAGCTTTGTTGAGTCCATGATAAGAATGGGGAATCTTAGTCCTTTGACAGGGACAGAAGGTGAGATCAGATTGAACTGCAGAGTAGTCAATGCAAACTTGGCTGGAAAAGATAGTGCGCTTGTTAGCTCAGTTTGAAAGCCAGACTATGCCAAGAAAAAATTGAAAATAACCTCATGTATATGTATGTGTGTAATAAAAATAACTTTGATGGAAATGAAATGTAATACTTAAAATTCAGAATAAATATTGAAGTTACAGCTTGGTCTATTTGCCTGGCTGAGCACTCTTCAATGGAATTTCTTTGAACAGGCGTCTGAGAGGCTCAAATTTATTAATATAAATACGTCAATTATACGGCAAGAAGAGAGCACTGCATTTTAAATTGGAATGAGATTGTTACGAAAATACATCGTACTACTTTGGGGGATCTTAGTGAAAGTAACATGGTGTTTTAGGATAAAGATCCGAAATGAAATAATGTTTTCCATCTTATTCCTGAGAAATTGGCTCTTTAGTTAAAGTCTATAAACAATAAAAAAAACTTTTATACCTAGATGTATATAAATCCTAAAGATACCTTACAGTGAACAAATTAGATTTTTAAGAGTCATTTTTTAAGTTTGTTAGTTTGTTATCAAGCTGTCCTTTTTTATCTCTCTTTCTTTTTCTTGTCTATGCACACAATCATAACTTGTTCTTTTTTAGCTAGTCAAGTTCTTTTAGCACTAGATTTATATAAAATCTTGATTATTACCGCACAAAAAAATACTAATATAAATATGTTTTTAACATCAATGATCCAATTTAGTGTTTGGAAAATTCTAGCGTGAGGCTTGATCTATACTTTCTTGTTTTTTTAGCTAGAATATATAATTTATGAGGAACAAGATAATCTTTATTGATGGAATTGTGATATTCAAAGACAGTTTCTCCTTAATTCTTTATCGATTATCAAATTAGCTTAAATCTATAGAGAAGTTCTTCATAATTATTAGCACTGCTTTAATTATGGACCTGAAGGTATTATAGATTAGTCTAACACCAAATCAAAGCTTTAAATGTGGCGTATCAGCTCCTTCAATCCTAATGATTTTTTTTTGTTATGCATCTGCTGGCTTTCTTTTTCTTTCTTTTTGTGTTTGTTTTCTGTTTTTATAATTCTCTTTTCTTTTCTTTTTTTTTTCTTTAATGTATCTTGTTTTTTAATATCTTTTGTTAACCCTTTTAATATATCGATTTCTTTTTAAAATATAAATACTTTTTTAACTAGTTTAGGGATTACTTCATTTTCAATAATGAGCATTCATGATACATCTTAAAACTCTTTGACCAAGTAAGAGATCAACTACTCATTTCTAATGTTCTAAGATCTCTCTACATTTTATATTTAGTTTCTGTTTTGTTTGGTAGGGAGGCAAGGTGTGGTTAGAATTATATTTTGTTTTAATTATAATTTTGAAAGTATTTGATTAATCAATATATATATATAATAATTTTTCGCATGAATTCCACTGGAAACCCTCTTAAAACCTTAATTATGAAAAATCTATTATTTATAGCATTTTTTAAACCTATTTTTTTAAAACTATAATTATAAAAACTACTATAATATCAAATACACGTAGCATCAAGCTGGTCTTCTGAACTTTGAAACACAACTGTAATATATCCTATGTCCTAATTAAACGTACAATGTTTGTGTGTCTATATACAAAGCCTTGTGGAAATGGTTTCCAGAAGATGTATATAACATTGGTATGACAAGTTATTGTTCCCTTGTAGGTGAACAATGACCTACATAGGGGGAAATTTTGAATACCTCTCTTGTTTGAATGATAATTTATTATATACATGGAAGCTTGGCAGCTTATCATCATTAAAAAAAAAAAACAAAGGAAACAATTTTACAAACCTCATGTATGGTGATCACCTGCCATATTCATCACCATCTAACTTAAAAAATAAAATGATTTCATGGCTCAAATGTAATATATTACCATTTAGCTTCCAAAGCTCTTTGTCTCTCTATAAATTAGAACTACGTACAATGAACTAAATTAAACCTTCAATTTTGGATAGTCATACAATTGAAACCGTGTTTAAATGACAACAATAATAATGTTCAGTACTTTATTTATCCCACCTGCTATATGCATTATCACCTAATATATTAAAATAAGATGTAAAATGTCAACCCTCAAAAACTAATTTTACAAATAACTTGTGATCATGTGGAGTGTTTGTTATTGTTTTTAAAGGGTATGTGTTGATCTCCAACAATTAGCATCAAATCTCGAATTTATTTATAAGAGGGAAATATACGTTTTCGATACGAGAAACGGCAACCTAAGAGGGAGTATCAATAGCATTTTCCATCATACTGATGAATTTTATGACACAATACATACATGCATACATACATACATGTGTGTGTGTGTATTAAATTGAACTAACAAGCATAATATTTTGTCCAGTTGAATTTCCATTAACTACACGGCAGTCCAATCTGATTTCCCCTTGTGTTCCTGTCAAAAGGCTGAGATTCCCCATTCTTATCATGGAAACGACAAAGCTTTCAAAGAAAGCTGTTTCATTTGCACTAAAGTTGTTGACAATGTCAACGGTATCTGCCCCAGGAGTCGAAAACAGTAGTTGATCACTCCCAAGTAGGCCTTGGCCAACTAGCAGATTGGAGAAATAGTTACTATCAAAACCATCAGGTGTTTTAGGATCAAGATCAGCAAGCACACTCCCATTCCCATTACAAGGGCACAAGTCCCGGAGTGTTGCTAAATAAGTTGTGTTCAATGTATTATCTGGTGGAGGATTAGTACTGCAATCACTCAAATTATACAACCGGTTTGTGAAAAATTGACATTGAGACCGTCCGAATGTGTGAGCACCTGTCAAGACAAGAGACGTGAAAATGTCAGCAAACATTTTTCTGTTTTTCTTCTCTCTAGGAAGGGGAATATATAATAGTAGTCGTTACCAGATAGAGCAACCAGATCAGTATTGTTATTCAGGCCAACAGCAGTGAACTTGGCTTTGATTTCATCAAGGGTCTCAAAGGGGGACGGAAGGGAAAGATTTGCTAGAGCCCGGTTCGCTGTTGTTCCATCTCTCCTTCCTAGTGGAACTGCCCATGAGGGACCTCCAGCCTATAACCATACATAGGGTAGTCTAGATTAATATAGTACATGCAGTACAAAAACATACACATAAATTGAGGTTACGATCAATTTTCTTCTCCATTTTAACATACCAAAACGACAGATTCTTCAGCTGCAATTGCGAGAATATCAGCACATGAAACTATGCCAGGACAATTTTCAGAGCTCTCCAATCTGGCTTTCATTCTATCAATAACATCAAAACCTCTTGCAGAGTTGTTGTTTGGCAAAGCTTCCTTCTCACTCTCAATTGTATCAGTATTGTCCAACAAAATCGATGCATCACAACCCTGTCCAACAAAATCGATGAATCAAAATCTCAACTCTCTTTTTTTTTTATAAGAAAGCAGAGAAATGGAGACACAAAAATGAAAGATCATAGCAAATTTACATCAACAAAGCAGTCATGGAAGTGAAGCCTAATGAGGCTGGCCCCGATCCGAGCATCGGATAACAAGGTATCTTCAATGATTTCACGTATGATGCTGGTCACATTCGGACACGTTTCATCATAAAATGTTGGAGCAAGCTGACCATAAGCTAATAATGGTGCTACTCCTGCCAAAAACGCATAGAACAAAGCTACAAACATAACTTTAGAAAGATGCATTTTCATTAGCTACGTACTTTCTCCTACAACAATGTTTTAAATTTCAGTGCTCGCAACTTATATGGCCATGGAAGCTCATTGGAGTTCCAATTTATAGAGCAACAAATATCTTCTTTTTTTTTTTAGCCTGACATGACATGTTGTTAATGTTAGGTGGTGATGAATATGGCAGGTGGGGTAAGCAGATTATTCAACACCGGTATTGCTGTCGCTGTATAACTAACCTCGGATTATAGCAAGTAATTCTATTTAAATATGGTTTCAATTGTATAATCATCCAAGATTATATGGTTTATTGTAGTTCATCGTAGCACTTAGTGTGAAGCCAGCCACCAGCCACCCAAGTAGGGACAGCCATCCACAATAATTATAGGCACCAATTTGATGCCATTTACAGCACCAACTGGTGCCACTTGCTTTGCTTTTGTTTTTTTTGTAAGATAAAAGCAATGATGGAAATTAATCTTATAAAATTATAAGGTATTTGTGAGAGAATAAATGAGGTGTTTTCTCCTATTAATAGAGAGATTTCAGTTGTTCTCTTATTAATAAAGAGAGATTGTAATTCTCACATTACTTAGTAAAATCCTTCTATATTTGCCCATGGATGTAACCTAATTTGGGTGAACCACATAAATTTTTATATGTCATTTCTCATTTTATCATGTCCATTACCTTTTGTCTTGTCGAGTTTGCATGTCAATTTCTTAACAGTGGTATCAGAGCCAGATTGGTTGGTGTTGTCAATACATAAAAGTTATTTATATATACAATTCACGTCTACTACACTATTTACCTATACGGTACTGCTCACATACGTTATTGTTGGCATATATAGAAAGTCAGTGCAGTGATTAAATACAGTCTAGAAAGTTCTGCCTAAGGATATTGAGTTTTAAACGGGACCGTTTGTGACCCCTCTAATCTTTTCTAGGAACTTACTCAGTAACTATTATTCACACGATACTATTTCTGTATATATTGCAGATCAATGAAACAGTGATAGTTGAATAGATCTTGGTGAATACAATGACAACAGAGTATAAGATTAAAAGGTTTAATGAGAGCAATTTCTCACTGTGGAAAATGAGAATTAAAGCAATCTTAAGGAAAAAAATTGCTTGGCAGCAATTGGGGATTGGCCTGCGAAGATCATTGATAATGCAAAATAGAATGAGATGGATGGCAATGCTATTGCTAACATACATTTAGCATTAGCCGATGAAGTATTATCAAGTATGGCGGAGAAGAAAACAACTAAAGAGATATGAGAGACTCTAACAAAGCTATACGAGTCCATGTTTTTGCACAATAAGATTTTATTAAAGCGGAGATTTTATACCTTTTGAATGGCAGAAACCACGTCAATGACTGACCACATCAACACAATAAGAACTATATTTTCACAACTCACTACATTGAGTCAGCAAATAGAGGAAAATAAACGTGCAAAGCTTTTACTTCAAAGTTTTCCTGATTCGTATGATTAGTTCATTATCAACTTGACCAATAATATCCTCTCAGACTATTTAGTCTTCGATGATATTGCAGCTGTTATCTTGGAAGAAGAAAATAGGCGTAAAAAAAAGACAGAAATAGTTCAAACCAAGCAAAGACATTGTTAGTGTCAAGAGGAAAATTAACAGAGCATGGCACCAATGGGAGTACAAGGTAGGGGAGGTCCAAATCAAGAAGTAAGAAGACTGTGAAATGCTATAACTATGGCAGAAAAAGGCACTTTGGAAAGGATTGTTGGTTTAAAAAAGATATAAAGAACACTACAGAATCATCAAAACCTCAAGGATGTGTTGCAAGCACCTTAAAAGATGAAGAGGTTTTATATAGTAAAGCAGGGACAATCTCTACAGATAGATAAGAGCTCACTGAGCTCTAGCTAATAGATTCAAGAGCAACATGACATATGACTCCTAATTGAGATTGTTTCTATACATATGAACCCATCTCTAAAGGCACACTGTTCATGGGTGATAATCATGCTTTAGAGATTGCTAGCATTGGCACCATTAAATTGAAGATGTATAATGGCTTAATCCGTACTATTTCAGGAGTGCGACATGTGAAAGACTTAAAGAAGAATATTTTATCCATAGGACAATTTAATAGTCTTGGCTATAAGATTCGAATAGACAATGGAATCATGAAAATTATCAAAATACGCTAGTGGTTTTGAAGGCAAGAAAAATAGTTGCAAATATATTTGTATTAATGGGAGAAACACATCATGGGGCAGAAGCGTCAATTGCATAAGCAGTCCTCCAGAAGGGAAAATGATGATGTGGCACCAAAAACTAGGCCACATGTTAGAGAAAGGTTTGAAAATTCTCTTTAATCAGAAGTTACTCCATGGGCTTACAAAGGTTAACTTACCTTTCTGTGAGCATTGTGTTACAAGTAAACAACACAGGTTAAAGTTTGGCACATCAACAACTAAAAGCAAATTTATTTTAGACCTGATTCACTATGATGTTTGGCAAGCACCGGTTGCATCCTTGGGAGAAGCAAGATACTTTGTATCATTCATAAATGACTTCTCCATGAGATGTTAGGTGTATCCAATTAGAAGAAAGGCAAATGTGTTTTCAGTCTTTAAAACCTTCAAAGCGGTGGTAGAACTTGAACTTGAAAAGAAGATCAAGTGTTTGAGGACTGACAATGAAGAAAAATATACCAATGATGAATTTGATAACTTTTGTCAACATGAAGGTATCAAAAGGTAATTCATAACAGCATACACTCCACAATAAAATGAAGTGGCAGAGCAGATGAACAGAACTCTATTAGAAAGAACAAAAGTAATGTTGAAGGTTGTAGGTCTAGGAAAGTCATTTTGGGCAGAAGTAGTCAATATCGCCTGTTATATGATAAATCGATCTTCATCAACTGTAATTAAGCTGAAGACACAGATGGAAATGTGGACTAGAAAGCAAGCTAATTATTCTCGATTGCATATATTTGAAAGTCTTGTTTACGTGATGTACAATACTCAAAAATTCAGCAAGTTGGATTCAAAATTCAGAAAATATGTATTTTTAGGATATGCTGATGGAGTGAAGGGGTATCGCTTATAGGATCTCATTGCCCACAAGGTAGTCATCAGAAGAGATGTCATATTTGCAAAAGATAAAATACAAATGAAAGAACATAATAGTATTTTAAAAGAGACTACAACAGTATATGTGGAAAATACTCAGAATTGTACTTCTCATAAAGTTGCACTAGTGCATGAAAAATAAGAACAAATAGAGTCTGAAACTCCTGAAGTTCGACAATCGACTCATGAAAGAAGACCACCAGCTTGGCATTCAGAATATATTATTGAGAGCAATATTGCATACGATCTTCTAACAAAGGATAGGGAGCCATCAACTTTCCACAAGGCTATTAAAAGTACAGATGTATCTATGTGATGACAACAAAGCAAGAGGAGAGTAACGTTTTGCACAGGAATAACACTGGGAATCTTGTTTCACTACCACAAGGAAGAAAGGTCATTGGCAACAATAGGTTTACAAGATAAAGCGTGATGGCAATAAGCAAGTAGAGCGGTATCATGCAAGATTGGTGGTAAAAGGAATAGACTTTAATGAGATATTTTTCTTGATGATATGACTTACTACAATCAGAGTAGTCTCAGCGATGTGTGTTATATTTGATCTTCACTTAGAGTAGTTAGATGTGAAAATTGCATTTCTTCATAAAGAACTTGAAGAAGAAATTTATATACTCCAACCAAAGGGTTTTGCTGAAATAGGCAAGAAGAACTTGGTTTGCAAGTTGAATAAATCTCTATATGGTCTCAAATAGGTGCCAAGGTGTTGGTATAAGAGATTTGATTCCTTTATAATTAGCCTTAGGTACAACAGACTTAGTTCAGACCATTGTACGTATTACAAGAGGTTTGAAGAAGATTTCATCATTTTGTTGTTATACATGGATGACATGTTGGTGATAAGTCCCAACAAATATCGAGTCCAAGAATTGAAGGCATAATTGGCTAGGGAGTTTAATATAAAGGACTTGGGATCAACAAATAAGATTCTAAGGATGTAAATTCACCAAGACAGAAGTAAGTGGAAGATTTGGCTTTCTCGAAAGAATTATTTAAAGAAGATCTTGCGATGCTTCAACATGCAAGATTGTAAGCCAATTTCCACCACACTTCCTATTAACTTCAAATTATCCTCAAATATGTCTCCTAGTAGTGAAGAAGAGAGGATAAAGATGTCTCGAGTACCGTACGCATCAACAGTAGGAAGTTTAATGTTTGTCATGATATGTACAAGACCAGACATTACATAAGCAATAGGAGCAACTAGTCGATACATGAAAAATCCTGGTAAAGAGCATTGGAATACTATTAAGAGGATCTTGAGATACATCAAGGGTACCTTAGATGTCGTATTATGTTATGAAGGATCAGAATTTACTGCCAGATGTTTTGTTGACTTAGATTTTGCTAGTGACTTTGAGAAAATAAAATCCACTACAGGCTATGTGTTCATAATTGCGGGAGGAACTGTGAGCTAGGTCTCTAAATTTTAGACTGTTGTAGCGTTATCCACAACAGAAGCTTAGTATATGGCACCTACACAAGCTTGTAAAGAAGCAATATGGATAAAGAAACTTATGGAGGAGCTCGGGCACAAATAAGTGAATATTCTTTTTGTATTGTGATAGTTAAAGTACCTTGCATATTACAAGGAATCCAGCATTTTATTTAAGAATAAAACATGTAGATGTTTAATATCACTTTGTTCGTAAAGTGGTGGAAAATGGAAGTGTGGATTTTCAAAAAGTTCACACAAAGAAAAATCCAGTAGATACGTTGACCAAACCAATCAACACTAACAAGTATATATCGTGCAGATCCTCTTATGGCCTAATTGAAATGCAAGTAGCATGAAAATGGCAAGTATACAAAGGATAGAAGAATTACAAATGATTAAATGTGAAGACTTGATTAAATCATCAAAGTCTTCAAGTGAGAGAATGTAAAACCAACCACCTAAGTCAATAAAGG